CTCCTGGTGAATGCTTCCTTCTAGAAGATTAACAGGATCTCAATATCAATGTCAGAAGGGCCTTTAAGTATTTTCTTGGTTCCAAAAGCAGTTTGCTCTCCCTGAATTCCTATCATCTCCTAGTTCCTTGGGTCAAGGAGAAGCTCCTTCCTCTCTTGCATTCTCCAAATGCCTAAACCACCACATCTCATCAATTATCTCTATAATTCCCTCAAATCCATCACTTCATCTCTATCCACTCTTAGTCACTGCCATCGCTGAGGCCATCAGCTCTGACTAAAGGACCCAAAGTCCAGGGGCGCCTGGGTGGCTTAGTTGGTTAAGCGTCCGACTTTCGCTTAGGTCATGATCTCGCGGTTCGTGGGTTCGAGCCCCGCGTCGGGCTCTGTGCTGACTGCCAGCTCAGAGCCTGGAGCCTGTTTCAGTCTGTGACTCCCTCTCTCTCTGACCCTCCCCTGCTCACGCTGTCTCTCTCTCTCTCCTAGAAATAAATAAAAAAAAACATTAAAAAAAAAAACTTATAAAAGGACCCAAAGTCCAATGAACAATACCAGCTCCTTGGCAGACTTTTCCAGGAACCAGATGGGACATGATGAGACTTTTGAAGAGAACATGAATTGGTTTTTTGCCTGATTTTTTTCTTTTCGACCAACCTGAAAGTGGGAGATTACAGAAGTACCTAAAACAATTAGATTTTGATACTGACATAAAAAAATCTTGGTACTACTTCCCCCTAGTTTCTCAAACCCACAAAGACATTCTAGAAGTTTCCTATTAGGCCTCGGAAGTTTGGATTTCACAGGGCAGTGGCAGGGATGCCAACTTTGTCCTATTGCCAAACAGCTGTCAAAGTTGTCACTAAACTGCCTGTGGCAATTTGCAAAGCCCTTGAAGGCACTGGAGAAGTCCTCCTAGTCCTGCCGGAACGTGTTCGCAGTGAGAATCATTTTCTGGTGCCCTAACCCTGTGGGGCAAATCACCAATATGGCAGCTGATAGGCAGCAGTGTCCTGTCCTGCCAAGGCCAGATCCTCTGCTGGGTGAGGGAGATTGGGTCATAAGCCCCAAATCCCCAGAAAGTGAATGTGCATACACCTGCTTGCAGCGCCTGGAGTTTCCTGGCCCCATGTGAGGACAGGGGGCTCCGTCAAGCTGAGTAGAGAATCCTTCCGTTGTCAAGTCCAGACCTGCTGTTCTGTAGGAGAGCTTAAAGACAGATTAAAAAAAAAAATCTTTTGTACCTTTTATTTTGAGGAGTACAGTTTTAAAGATCTAGACACAGTGCCCTTATGAAAAAGTGACCCCTTTTCGCCTGTACCAGGAGCAACTTCCCGGTACCCCAACATTTGCCCCAGAGGACTATCTGGGGCATCTAAAGAGACTGTGCCTCTTTCTGGGTGTCTCTTCCCTTACCCTTAGGCCTAGAATTTTTGTTCCCCATCCTCAACCAGACGAGTTCCCTCCCCTGAGCTCAATAGATAAAATTCATTTATTTTATTCAACAAATAAGTGAATATTTATTTGCGACTCTTAGCAAAATGTCATTTTTGACGGGACTCAGATGAGAGGTGGAAGCTCTCAGAGAAGACAGCCTCCATCTCTTGGCAGTCTGTTCCTGGGGGGGTTTCTTTGGCCCCCTTCATTCTCTTGGCCAAAAGTTTAGCATGTTCTGCAGCCTCTTCCTTATCTGTCTTTGTGGACTGCTTGTTCAAAGCAGTACCCCGACACTGTGTTGGAAGACGTGGAGTGAGAAGACACCGAATCTTGGGTGCTTTGGTTCTAGGTTTCCTACTTTGTTTGTTTAGGGGCTTTCTCACAACATCCTGGTAGACATCATCTTCCTTAGAGAGGCTGTGGATTCTGCTAGGTCTTTTGGGCCCCCAGGCGATAGCATCACCGAGTCCAGGAATATCCTTCTCCCTTTGTTTTACAATGACCAAGTTGAGAACACTGAGGTTGGCATCCGCAATGCAAGCCTGAACACATTTGCCCTTTCTTCCCCCAAAGTCCTTCTGGGTAGTTGGCAGGAAGGTTCTGGACTCAGCAACAGGTGGACATGGCCTGGGGTCAGACACCCCGCTTCATGGGAAGCCTTGTTTGTCATTGCCACCACTGATTCGGACCACGCCACCCTTCCACTCTTCACCTACAGCATCGGCAGCAACTTCTGTGGTCGTTTGCTTCTCATAAAACGTACGAAGTTTGCATTCATCGTCCACTTCAATGAGTTTCTGGCAGCCAGTAGCTGGGAAAGGGTTGTTTAGCTAAGGATTAAAGGAGGGGAGGGGAGGGAAAGAGCTTTAGAAAACTGCAGAACCACCTACAGAGGTAATTCCATAGCAAAAAGCCTTTCATGGAACCCTCAGAAAATGAGCAGAGGTCCTGAAATACCGGTTTTTCTAGCTAACACGTGTAAATAACGCACAAGCACCTCACTAAAAATCAGGCTGATTTTTCCTCAAAAATTTGGTAATGACGCTGGGGCAAAGGGCCCACCACTGCCCGCCGGCCGAATAGACAATCAGGGCAAGGAGCCCAAGCGAGGGGCCTCCAGCTAGGCAGCAAGGCCATGTCTCTGAAAGAGAAATTAGTGATGCAGACAAGGCTCTTCCTCGGAGGGGCTCGCCTTTGACAGGAACCCAGTTAAGACCAAGCAGGGAAGTGAGGGGCCAGGCCCTAACTCCCCAGTGCTCTTCCTCCTCTGCTTTGCTCTCTTCCTTCCACACCCTGCCTCCGAGGCGTCTGGGGAACCAGCACCCCACGGGTGTGGTGGGGGGAGCACAAGTGGGTAGAAACGCGAGGAGAGGGGCGGAGGCAGATCACGGCCATCCCCTTACCCCCGCATGCGTGCCCAGGCTGCCCTCACATCTCAGGGCCACGGGCAGGTCTCGGGCATCTTTGGTATTTTAGGCTGGTTGGTATCTTGCTTTTGGAGCTGATGCAGTAGCAGCTCAGGGCGTGGGATCCCGAGGAGGAGGGGCCCGGGCACGGACACACCTGCTTAGCCACGGATGGCTCTGCCGCTCTGGACTCTATTCTCCCTTTGAGGATTCAGGCTGCGCTTTTGGAAACCAAACGGACGAGATGCCGGGTGCAAAGGTGTCAGCCCCGCAGAGCTGCGAGTCACTGCTGCTTCTGCTTATGGCTAAGTCACAGGGGACCCCATCACGTATGTAGGTAGGTGGGAGCAGGGATTGGGGCCCTGGGCACAGACCACAGAGCCTGTATGGATTTCCTAGGGCTGCCCTCACCAAACACCAGACTGCGGGGCTTACACAGAAACATATCTACTCCCAGTTCTAGAGGCTAGAAGTCCAAGATCGAGGGGCTCTTGGGGAGCTCAGTTGGTTAAGTGCCAGACTTTGGCTCAGGTCATAATCTCACTGCTTGTGGGTTCCAGGTCCCCGTCGGGCTCCGTGCTGTATGGAGGCTGCTAGAGATGCTCCCCCACCCCCTGCTGGTCCTTATCTTTCTCAAATTAAGTCAATAAAAGCTTAAAAATTTTTTTATAAAGAAGTCCAAGATGAAGATATCATCAGATTTGGTTTCCTCGGAGGTCTCTCCTTGGGCTGCAGATGGCGCCTTCTCACGTGTCCTCTCCTGGTCGCCCCCTGGTGTTGACTGTGTCCCTGTCTCCTCTTATAAGAACACTACTCATATAGGATTAGGGCACATCCTAATGACGTTTTATTTTTTTTAATTTTTAAAGAATTTAAAAAATGTTTTTATTTATTTCTGAGAGAGACAGTGTGAGCAGGGGAGGGTCAGAGAGAGAGGGAGACACAGAATCCGAAACAGACTCCGGGCTCTGAGTTGGCTGTCAGCACAGAGCCCGACGCGGGGCTCGAACCCACAAACTGCGAGATCATGTCAGCTTTCCAAGGTCCTGCCCCCTCTTCTAGATAAACACACTCATTTCTAAGACCCAAGAGGCGTTAAGATGTCCATTTCATCTGGTGTAAGAGTCGCCCCTTCGAGAGAAACTCAAGTCTCCGCCCACCGCAGATTGTGAGCACCGCACGGACGCGGGCAAGGAGGGGAAGCGAGTAGGGCGCTCCTCCTTCCCTTGGTTCCAGCCGCCCGAGAGCTTGAACTAGTGAGCGCCCCGCGCTGGATAACTCAAGTATCTGCACAAAACTCCTCAAACTCCCTGCGTGTGAGGTTGTCCTCCTGAAGAATCGCGTCCTGCTGTGGACGGGAGCCGGGAACGATACGGACCAGGCAGAGCTCCCGGGGAGTGGCCTTGGGTGAAGGAGGCCCTTGAAGCGGGGTCCGTCTACCTCCCCGCCGCCGCTGTTATGGCGAAAGCCATCGGACTGTCAGAGTTGAATGCTGGGCCACACGAGCCAGACCCTCTGTCCTATTCCTGCCAGGAGCCGCCCGTACTGAATTCCTTAAGGTTCCTGGGAATTAGAAAAAGTAAAGGTGGGGACAAGGAGAGGGGGCAGGCAAGATTGGGGTTGAGGACAGCGAGAATGTCAAAAGCGGCAGACATCTGGCCAAATCACTCGAGCGAACAAGGGAGTTTTGACAAACCGGGTGGAAAGGGGACTAACGGCAACGTTAAATGTCCCGCTCCCAGGGAAGCCTGGGCGTTACGGACACCCGAGTGCAGGTAGAGGTCGGGGATCCCGAAAATGACCTGACAGACAGCCTGCGTTGCGGAGGCGGCGGATTCCCGCCCCCTAGCCGGAGCGCCTCGCCAATTGTTGCCACTTCCGGCGGGGCTGGGAAGGGCGCGGGCGCAGGAGGATCAGCGCGCGGATCCCCACTACTGAAAAAGCCAACCTCGGTGCACCCGAGACCTGTAGACTCGGCACCTGGTCTCGCGACCTACCTTGCAGGGAGGTCTGGCCCTTACCCTAGCCTAGTACCCACCCTCACGATGCTGATCCCAGGCTACGGGATGCGGGGAGCACGGAAGCTTCGGACAAGCGGCACAGCTGCTTTCAGGTGCCGTCGTGGGTGGCTCTGAAAAGAGCCTTTGGTTAGGATGGAACCTCGAGCCGAGCGCGCACTTAAGCCCGCTCCCCGCGGATGCGGCGAGCCAGCTGGATGTCCTTGGGCATGATGGTGACGCGCTTGGCGTGGATGGCGCACAGGTTCGTGTCCTCGAACAGCCCCACCAGGTAGGCCTCGCTCGCCTCCTGCAGCGCCATCACGGCCGAGCTCTGGAAGCGCAGGTCCGTCTTGAAGTCCTGCGCGATCTCGCGCACCAGCCGCTGGAACGGCAGCTTGCGGATCAGCAGCTCGGTGGACTTCTGGTAGCGCCGGATCTCGCGCAGGGCCACCGTGCCCGGCCGGTAGCGGTGCGGCTTCTTGACGCCGCCCGTGGCCGGCGCGCTCTTGCGGGCCGCCTTGGTGGCCAGCTGCTTGCGCGGGGCCTTGCCGCCGGTCGACTTGCGGGCGGTCTGCTTCGTGCGGGCCATTGCCAACCAAGACAAGAGCGTCCGAGCGCGGCAGCGGCGGCAGCGGGAGGAACGGGTCTCGGCCCGCCGCGGCAGCCTTTATAGCCACCGTCTTATTCCGGTTGGGCGGGGCGATAATTGAAAGTCCCGCGCTGCCTGACCATTGGCCGTGACGTCACCTCCTGGCATCACTCATTGGTGCGGGCAAATCCTCCCTGCCCCGCCCACCCGCCTCGCTTTCTCCTTTCCAGTTGGCTGAGTCTTTCCCTACCGTGTTTTTCCTTTCTTTTCCGCGGGCGAGCGGGGGCGGAGGGGGAAAAGGGGGTCATTTTCGACCGCGACTGTGTCTGCATTTTTCTTCCCAGGCCTTCAACACTTCGCTCCCTTAGAACGTGATACGCTGTTCAGTCCCTCGCTGTCTCCCCTACTCCACTTCAATCTTCCTTTTGCTCCCTGCTCCTCAAAGCGCCTCGTTTCCGAAGAGCCCCTTCGTTGGTCCAGTGGATCTTTTTTCCCGGCCTTGGTCGGCCTTCCCCCCCCCCCCCCCCCCCCC